GGTGGACAACTTGAATTCTGAAATGCATATTTTATTTCTGGTTTCATGAACATACTATTCAAGAAATTCTTTCCAAATTTTTTCTGACACAATTCACTAAAAAACCGAAAGGTGTTGGTTCCAATAATCATTGGTACTTCGTGAGTATAAGGTGTCTCTGGACAAACTAAAGCATATGTCAGCATAGGACAATCAGTTCCAACAACTTCTTTTGGTAAAGTTAAATCGACTTTAATAAATCCATCAAATTGAACTTTTTGACCCCCAGCGCCTTCTACAGCAAACGTCTTATCGCTGATCGGAAAGATTGATAAGTGTGATAAATGTCTGTCATAAAATTCACGTGTTATAGTGGTGACTTGGGAGCCACTATCTAAAAGTGTTCTTAACGGAACGCCATTTACGTGTGCATCAGTTTCACAGGCTGGACCAACCAAACTTTCAAACACTTGATTGTCACTGTTTTGTACCTATGCTAAAATATCATTTGAAGTAAAAGTTTTGTGCAGATTAGAATGATTTTGAATTGTCAAATAAAGTTTATCTTTCACTATACTGGTTTTCTTTACCAACAACCCATTAGGTAAATGATTTGGTTGAATAGAATTCCACATCACAGTATTTGGATCAATATCAATCAAACAGTTTTTAGATAGTCTAATCGGGTTTTCACAGCTAGACAAACTTTCTTGATTTTCTTTCTTGCTTTCCTCACCATGGGGCTCAGTCTGCCTCTCTACTGAGACCCCTTTGAATTTAATCTTTCGAATACTAATTGAGGATTGTCTTTGTTACTACAATTAGGCTTTATATGGTCCCTTTCTCCACATTTGTAGCAAAATCTACTTTTCTTTGCTTTAAGTCGTGTACCAGCGGTATTCTTCGGGTTAACAGGTTGTTTGTTTTGTTGGGACAACTGATTTATTTGTAATTGCAAACATTTAAGGGTGTCTATAATACCATTATCTGTTTGCTGAGTGTGGCTTTGAGGCTTTGGCTTCTTTTTTACCTCGTGCGGACAATGTTCAAGAGTTTCTTCCGCTCTTCTCACTTCCTTTAGTAAGGCATGTAAAGTAGGAGGTGCACTATCGGAAAACTTTGTGTGGAGATATTGCTTAATTACATCGGATTCACATGAAGATATATAATGATTAAGTATAGTCTCATTCATCTGTTCTTCTTGTAACCCTCCACGTTTTTAACAAGGTTTATCTTCACACCTAGTCTTTGGAGATACTGGGAGCAAGATTCTGTACTTTCTCGTTTTAATTGAAAAAATTCTTGAAGTAACTTAATACCATTAGACACACTTCCGTAAAGTTCATTTAGTTCTTGGTATATGTTATTAGATGAGATGTCTCCTACTGCTCGAATCAAATCCAAGGCTGGGGAGTGTAATGAAGAAAGTAGACGGTGTTGCTTATCTTTTTCTGAAAGTGAACTTTCTAGAATCAGTTCAGCTTGCCTAGACCATTCCTCAATGCTATCTTTAGGTGACCCAGAAAAAGATCTGAGTTTATATGATTGTTCACGAATAATGTGTTCTACCACATTTCTTGAAGTACCAGTATTTAATTGTGACTCAGCGTTACCACTATTAGTATCAGCAGGTTGTTGATTTGGAACCGATTCTGGAAGCTGATCTGGAAGCGTTCTGGTGATATCTTGGACTCTTGGAGCCTGACCACTTGCCATTGTGGAACTTCAGGTACAGTGCAGTAATCCTTCAATGTTGCAAAATCTAATTCCCGGACAAGCCCCCATGTAACCTCCAGGGCCCTCTTCTATTACGTCTAGAGGTGAGAAGTGGGATGGTGGTCGTAATATAACGGGTTATTTTGCTATAGTTGGTGCTCAGGATAAACACAGTAGTATCCTACAAATATAGTGATAAAGAATCAATATTTGCTATATAAAGTTTTATTTAGTCCAAAACCAGAACGCTTCTAGAAATAGTCAAAATGGCTGAATTTTCTACAAGACCAGAATGCAACTGGGTGGCGTCCTAAATTTGGACTTGACCTATGCGTCTAAAAACATGAGATGTATTTTTAATAACAATATTGACGAAATTAATAACAATTAACTATTCATGAATGAAATAATATTGAAAAAAGTATTACTATTAAATTAATTAACAGTTTTGAAATAGAAACAATTATTAGTAGACATCCATATTTTTGTATATACTGGGTAAAAGCATAAAGATGGAGATGGCTACACTTGCTTTCTTAGTTTTGAGAAAAAAATCTTGAAAGCTTGGTTGAATCCCAGTTCATCTTGTGCAAATTCGATGAAATCGTAAAACCTGTGACTTAATTATACTAGAAAAGTTATGCTTTGGAAGTAAAGATTGTAACTTTGTACTAATGAAAAAGTTATGAAAGCACAGGCACAGGACAAGTTTTAGGTTCCTTAATTTGAATAAACAAGATGTGTGTTAATAATTAGATGTTCGTAAAGATTTGGACAAAAGTTGGTGGGTATCGGCTTCTTTAAAAAATACTAAATACTTGATATCTAATTTATTGGTTTCAGGACATTTGGTATCTTAAAAACGGTTGTATCTAAAAGGTCAATGCTATTTTCGTAAAGATTGGCAGTTAATAGAAGGGTAGTAAGAGTAAAGAATGTTGAAATATTCCCGAAATTCTTCGGACAGAGAGGGTCCAGGTGAAAAAAATATCGTCTAAAAAGCGTTCGTAAGAATATGGCCTACTTTGTGTTCCATTAAAATTTTCTGCTGACACGGAATCCGCTAGTTGATCACGTGACTTCCTTCGTTGGACTACATTCTAGCAGACGACACTTGGAATTCCGACTAAAGATTGGGATTATAAGTAAATTCGGCCGAAAAAAAATGGTGACGTTTGGTAGTAACTTAAATCCGCCATTTTTTATTTGTCAAAGTATACATTAATACATTTTATCTTGCTTGAAACTACTGAATTCATTCTTCTAGCTGATATTGTACAGAAAACGCATGTTTATCAAAACAAGCAAATGCGGAGGTCACGCGAGGTCGCACATGTAAATTAATAATCATTTCCGGAAATGCACGAAAAATAGGTTAGCATGAAATTAGGTTACTTGACTGTACATTAATGCTTATTATTAAGAACACACAAGAGATCAAGAGACGTTGCATAAAACTTTAACCAGTGATTGTTGTTCCAAAAAACTGTGTCTGTATATCGTACTCACAATTGCTAAATGCCATTCAAAGACAATATATTAGCATATCAAGGTGCAAACCGTTTACCAATGGCAGTTCTTGAGGTGGTCTGAAGATAAACGTTGTCATTAAATATAAAATCATTCCATCTAAGGCATATATCAAAAAGGTCAGGAATTTCATCACCAGGTCTCTCAGAGTCGGGCTTCCTTTCAAAAGCCTTCCTCATGGCATGGAATCCGGAATCATTGTCAGTACGAGTGTACATACTTAGAACGTCTAATGAAACTGAGAAAGAATTTGAAGGAATTCAGTTGTTTTATTTTTTGGACAAAGTCGAAGCAACTGGCAGAAGGAAATGGTTGATGTACTCGGATACTCTGTTGGATTCACATGCACAGAAATAATTGGACGTCTTTTGAGAATTTTAAATGACTTAAACCAATCGGTTCAGGATTTTTGTGGATTTTCGGAAATGAATATGACGTTGTCTTGATGTGGTATTGGGTTTCAGATAATCAAATTGGTTTTGGTTTAGAAAGTGTTTATTTACTAGTTTTAAGAATCCCTGATGTCATAGAGGCGGTTTTGTGTTAAATTGACTTTAGAAGAATGGTCAGTATTTTCTAATTGTGCTTCTCCCTCTTTGTTATAATCCTGTCTATTTAAAATGATCCAACAACTTCCCTTATGACTAATTTATCGTTTCTGAGAGCGTTCACGCTCAGTGTGTGTTAGGTTATTCTTTTCATTTACCAGTGGTAAATTGGAAATTATCTATTGCTACATGCCTCTACTACGAGCTGATTTGAAAAGCATACTTGAACTATGGAATACACATTTCATTTGGCGGAGCCAAAAGTTTACTGACCGGGGAGCAGCCAAAGGCACGAGCTCGGTGGTTCGTAGTTGTAGAGACTACAATTCTTATCGGGTTTTGTTAAAGTATATACAGACATCGCTACATTTATGGTAGATACTTAAAGATATAAATCGGAATAATTCAAATTTTAAAAACGTTTTGACAGAAGAAGGAATTCGTGAATATTTTGGAAAATGAGTATAGATTGGTCAGGGTCATTTTGTACACCATTAAGCAGATTGATTATGTTTTTATGGCCAAAAAAAAAAGAGGTGGGCGTGGCACATCCGGGTTAAATTACTCATTATTGACATTTTTGAACAGGGGCATAGCTGGCATAAAATACATTTCTTCAAATGTCAGTTTAAAATATAAAGGTGTACAATTGTGGAATAATCTACCAGTTAAAAGAAAAGACAGGGGCATAACTCGCATAAAATACATTTGTTCGTAATGGAACTTTACATACAATTACCTCATTTTTTGAGTCACTTTATCTTAGAAGTTCAATTGTTTCAGCTTCATAGTTAAAAAAGGGAACAGATTTTGGAAATTCAATATTTTCAATTATTGATTTTGACCTTTGTTGACCTTAACTTTTGTAAGATCAAAGGTCATTGGCATTGGCTATCTATTTATACTCTTATATTTGCCGTCCTATGTGAAATTCCAGTTTTATAGGCGTATTCGATTTGAAATTTTGAGGACTTATATCTCGTGATCTGGAGCTTTTTGATCTTCTCCTTTACAAGTTCAAATGTCACTGACCTTGGCTTTCTGCTGATACTTTCATTTGTGAGGTCTGGCGTCTACTTCATGTATTAAAATCTTCTTAAAAATGAAAATTTCTCAACTTTAGACTGTTCTTGCACTTATGATCGTCGAAGGTTAATTTTTTCAGGGTCTTTTGCAAATTTCTACATTTCTATTATTATTAAATAGGCAATTAGCCAAGTCCCACTATGTGTTATATTTTTGTTTATATCTAGTTTTTATATTACAGATAGTGCAAACAGTTATATGCAATCGTATGAAGACCAATATAATGGTTATACTGAACAACACGTTGCTTACCCAACCATATACTTCATAACCCCTACTTATAACCGTAAAACTCAGAGAGCAGATTTAACTCGGTTAGCACAAACGTTACATCCAATAAAGGGATTACTATGGATAGTGGTAGAGGATTCCGAAAACAAAACTCTAATTGTGAATGAAATTTTAGCAAAATATAACATAAGAAGTGTGCATTTATATATCAAAACAGCGAAAAATGCTGTTCATAAAGGTTTAGCCCAAAGAAATGCTGCTTTGGAGTGGATACGCAGACACCATGTTTTAGGGAAAGATAAAGGTGTGGTATATTTTGGTGATGATGATAATTCGTATGATTGGTTATTATTTAATGAGGTAGGTTTTTTTTCTCTCGTTGGCCTACATACCATTTTATCCTACTTGATTAAATATATTACTAGGAAAGTTATAATGGGGCTTCGTGTATGCATGATATAATGGTTAGTGAATGATAGACACGGTTTGGTACTAAAAATGTGGCAGGTTATGGTAGACAAATAGGGGGTTAATTCAGTTTTATACGTCAAATGGAAATGTGGACGTATATGGTCGTCGCTCCTGTCCCTCCACATTCCTTGTAAACACGACAGAGGCTACAGTTTTATCCGATTTTAAAGATGGGTTTCCTTATTTTCACACATTGGAATTCAGCTTGTAATTCTCTTCTAATTTGGCTAATTATGAATTAATTATGGACATGTGAGACAAATTGGTTTTTTTCTAAGCCATTAGAGCACCTCTACTTTTTATAGGCACACATGAAATGGTCGGTCCGTCCACAATTGCTTGTAAACACTCTACAAGGCACAATTCTAGATTGTTTTCGACAAAACTTGTAAACACTCAAGAAGGCACAATTCTGGACGGATTTTGACGAAACTTGGAGTGAATGTGTGTAATAACTCAAGTGTAAACCCTTTCGAAAATCAGAAAATTTAGAAATATTTAGTATCAGTCATTGCCCCTGTTCTTGAAAACGCGTTCAATTTTTAGCTCGTAAACACTCCAGAAGGCACATATCTTGATGGACTTAGATGAAACTTAGTACGAGTGTTAGTAATCACCCAAGGATGTTCCCTATTGAAAATCAGAAAAATCGAAAACTAATTAATATGAGTTATTGCCTTTGTTCTTGAAAACGCGTTCAATTTTTAGCTCGTAATCGCTCTAGAAGGTTCAATTATTGACAGATATTTACGAAACTTGGTGTGATTGTTTGTTGTCACCTCAGGATGAACCCTAACGAATATCAGAAAAATTGAAAAATAATTAGTATGAGTTATTGCCCTTGTTCTTGAAAATGCGTTCAATTTGGAGCACGTACACACTCTAGAAGGCACAATTCTTGATGGATTTTGACGAAATTGGTATGATGTATGTAACCACCCAAAGATGAACCCTAACGAAGATGAAAAAAAATGAAAAATATTATTGCCCTTGTTCTTAAAAACGCGTTCAAGATTTAGCCTGTAAACACTCCAGAAAGCCCAATTCTTGACAGATTTTGATGAAACTTGGTAATATTATTCAGTAACGCTTCAAAAAATTCAAAAGAAGTGTATTTCTGAAGGTTAACTATTCCATACTAGTAATTGTGACTGTACTGCCAAATATTTATATCTAAAATCAAAGCTGCGAGTGGGCGTATATTACCTTGCCTGGCAAGCTATCTCATTAAACCTTTATTGACCTTGTTTCCCTTGACGAGATGTATCCACAGATGTTCCCATTTTTGTTGTGCAACCTTACCTTCCGGTTCTACAGCCTTTTTTAACTTTGAATAGCTTTGTCACGTGATCTAATTAACATACGGCAAAATTTCTTATATATTCTTAAAGTGCACGATCTGTTCTTTTTGGTGATATATCCCACTTGGTATTTTGATCAAAATTGCGCTTTTTTGTACCGACTTCCATAGTAACTTTGCGTAAATTGGCTGATCCGCATAAACTCAAGTCTCTTAGATAAAACAATGAATATCTCATTACGTAATAAAAGTAGATGCTTGAATATTTGAACATAATTAAACCTTTTCAGAAGATGATGGATATAACAAAATTTTTGGGTTGGACATGGCACATCCGGGTTAGATTCACATTTACTTATCAGATTTTTTATAACTCGCAAAGTAAGCATTTGTCAACCTTTAATAGTAGTGTCAACAAAATAGGACACTTCCTTGTCAAAGAGACGGTTTTCTTGGTGTTATATTTATCAAAAAGGAATACTTTTTATCGTTCACAAAATTGTATTTTTTGACCTTTTACTTAGAAGACCTTGACCCCTGTCAAAGGTCATTGATCTAGGATGTCCATTCATTCTTCAATGTTTGATGTCCGACATATACTTCCACTTTTACAGACGTTCGAAAACAGCACTTTTTATACGCCCACATGAAATGTAGAGCGTGTATTGCCGTCACCCATGTCCGTCGGTCCGTCCGTCCATCCGTCTGTCGGTCCGTCCGTCCACAGATGCTCGTAAAGACTCTACAAGGCACAATTCCGTACTGATTTCGGCGAAACTTGGTATTTTTTTTTTAAACAATATTTTATTCATATAATATGAAAAGGATTGGGGAACAGGCTTTCGACTATAATAACCCCTTTAATATAAAATGTTCATATGTACAATACAATATCGTTAAAATAAGTAACGTATATACAAACATCGCTACATCCATGGTAGATACTCGAAGATATAAAGCGGAATAATTCAAATTTTAAAAACGTTTTGACAGAAGAAGGAATTCGTGAATATTTTGGAAAATGAGTATAGAATGATCAGGGTCATTTTGTACACCGTTAAGCAGATTGGTTATGTTTTTAAGTTGGTAAGATGTTTATAGATCTGTCTCGTGCATCTCAATGTAAGGGACAGTACAAAAGAAAGTGTTCTGCATCTTCAAATTGACGACCACAAGAGCACGCAGGATTACTTAACTAACGTGTCTAAGAAATTTATGACCATTATGGTCACTGCAGGAAAGACGAAGACGGCAGTGGTAAATTTGACTTTTTCGATTGCCAAAGCTATATGAATCAGGTGGATAAGTGTTATTTGATTTAAGAGATTTTACGAAGGATGAAATAGAAAGGTGTAGTTTTTGAGAATTTGGTAGATTATTCCACTCTCTGATCGTTCACGGCAAAAATGAATCATAACATAAATTAGTTCTGCAGTGTAAATATGGTAAATTGTTGATATTCCTAAGATTATAATTGATATTTCTAGTGGGGAGAAGACCTGATAGGTAATTTGGAGTCAGATTGTTCAGGATCTTGTACATCATTGTCAGCTTATGCCGACTTCGTCTTTCCTGCTGTGTAATGAAACCTGTTTCCTTGTTAAGTAAAGCATGGCTAGTTCCCTGAACAGCGCCGCATAAAGTTCTGAGCATCTAACTGAAGATTTTCTAATGCAGTTGTTAGTTCGATAGTGCACCCGTCACAATAATCAAAATGCGGCAGAATGTAAGAGATATATATAGTTTGGAGAGATTTTCTACTTAAACGATTATTGAGACCTCTGAGACAGTTAGTAAGCCTACCAGTTTTCATTAAAATACAATTGGGGTAGATCGGGACCCCAGCATCAATTTTTTTTTAATTTCCAAAATGCCATCGAAGATAGCAGTTTGGTTATTTCAAACATTGTAGCTGAATGAATTTTTAACCTGTTCATGATCAGTCTACTGTGCGCAATCACAATTAGCGGATATGTTACCCATTTAAATTGAAACACATCATGCTAGTATGTTGGGGTACATTTAGACCCCAGATAAATTCAGGGCTAAAACTGGATTTCTGTGAATAAAATTAAATTGTAATCTACCCCTAAAGCTAATTGTCTTAGGTTAAAGTCAATTTGGCACTAACCCGAAATGTCCCCGTTTCAAAATGGCCCCAAAAGTCAAAATTAGTCAAAATGACCCAAAATACAATAGTCAAAATGGCTCAAAAATATAAATACAATACGAAAGAAAGCATAAACATTTGATACAATAAACTCATGACCTACGTAACATAAAACAGTATTAATATGGAAATCAGTATAATAATATAACACAGTAATACCATGACCTAAGTTTCATAAAACAATACATGATTTAACATATTATATCTGTTATAACTATGGCTGGTCTACTGACCTATATATAAATATATTAATATTGTAAACGGTATAATAGTGACCTAAGTTTCATAAAACAATACTTGATTTAACATATTATATCTATTATAACTATGACTGGTCTACTGACCTATATATAAATATGTTAATATTGTAAACAGTATTATCTATTATAGCTATGGCTGGCATACTGATCTATATATAAATATATTAATATTGTAAACAGTTTAATAATATAACACAGTAATATCATTTATTATATATTGTAACAATGACTGATCTACTGTCCTATATATAAATATATTAATATTGTAAACAGTACAATAATATAACACAGTAATATCATGACCTAGGTTTCATATAACAGTTCATGATTTAACATATTATATCAATTATAGCTATGGCTGGCATACTGACCTTTATATAAATATATTAATATTGTAAACAGTATAATAGTATAACACAGTAATATCATGGCCTAAGTTTCATATAACAGTTCATGATTTAACATATTACATCTATTATGGCTATGGCTGGTCTACTGACCTACATATAAATATGTTAATATTGTAAACAGTATTATATATTATACCTATGGCTGGCATACTGATCTATATATAAATATATTAATATTGTAAACAGTTTAATAATATAACACAGTAATATCATTTATTATATATTCTAACAATGACTGATCTACTGTCCTATATATAAATATATTAATATTGTAAACAGTACAATAATATAACACAGTAATATCATTTATTATATATTCTAACAATGACTGATCTACTGTCCTATATATAAATGAAATGAATGGAGTTTTACGTCCTACTTTTTGTCCTATATATATAAATATATTAATATTGTAAACAGTATAATAGTATAACACAGTAATATCATGGCCTAAGTTTCATATAACAGTTCATGATTTAACATATTACATCTATTATGGCTATGGCTGGTCTACTGACCTATATATAAATATGTTAATATTGTAAACAGTATTATATATTATACCTATGGCTGGCATACTGATCTATATATAAATATATTAATATTGTAAACAGTTTAATAATATAACACAGTAATATCATTTATTATATATTCTAACAATGACCGATCTACTGTCCTATATATAAATATATTAATATTGTAAACAGTACAATAATATAACACATTAATATCATGACCTAGGTTTCATATAACAGTTCATGATTTAACATATTATATAAATTATAGCTATGGCTGGCATACTGACCTATATATAAATATATTAATATTGTAAACAGTATAATAGTATGACA